AAAAAAAGAAAAGAAAGAAAGAAAGAAATGCAGTTACAGAGGCACAAATAGAATAAAAAGACATAGAAAATAAATAGGAGAATATTAAATGTAAATCCACTCATCAGTAATTTCACATGTGTATGGTCTAGATATCCCACTCAAAAAGCAGAGATTATCAGATGGGATTAAGAAAAAAAAAAACAACAATTTCTAGGGCCAGCGAGATAGCTCAGGGGACTAAATGCCTGCTTTGGTAAACACAGTGACAAGGGTTTAATTGGCCCTGCCCCTGGGGCACCCTGAGCCAGGATGGTATCCAGGTGTGGTGGTACATACCTGTAATTCCAGCACTGGGGAGGCTGAAAACAGGAGAATACCAGGAGTCCAATCTGCATAGTGAGACCTTGTACTAAATACATAAAATGAAAAAAAAAAAAAAAAAAAAATTTGGATTTTTTTAGGTCAGTGTTTAGTAAATGAAAAAAAAAAAAAAATTTTGTTCAGTTTTGTTTTTTTTTTTCCCCTAACCATTAAGTTTAAGAAACATAGTTTAGGGTCAAAGGCAAAAGTAGTTTGAAAGGTAATAGATGGAAAAAGATACACCATACAAACAAACCATGAGTCAACAGGAGTGGCTGTATTACTAGCAGATCGAACATAAATACGCTAGCAATAGCAGGTGATATTGTTTAAGAATGATATTTCATTATCAAAAGTGATGTCAAAACTAGGAAAAACTTGCTAGGCATGACCACAGGCCTATAATCCCAGCATTCAGATGAAAGTAACAGGTAATAGTGATGAATGATGAGCCACACTCTGACCTTGGGCTAGAATTTTATTTTTTTATTTGTATTTTGTATTGAGGGTGGAACCCAAAGTTTTGGCAATGCAAGGTGAATGCTGTACCACTTGGTTAGAATTTTAGAGCTGGAGGAGACCTCATGTGAAGGTAACACCTGAGAAAGAGTCACCAGGAATAGGGATTCCCTCATGATGGGTCTTTTGGTGGCTTGATGGAAAATTGCTGTGAAAAATGTAGGTCTCTTGGTATATGATGGCAGAGGGCGTGAATAGCAGATCTAATTAATGTTGAGACGGAACTAATGTTTTTTAATTGTATTTTTTCTTCTCCAATTCTGTATTTTTCCAGGAGCAACTTGAGGAGCAGGGAAGCATGGCTATTGTGAATCAAAAAACCATGTTCAAGGTGAGGTGAAATTTCTTATATCTATTAACTACTTTTGTAATTTTTTTTCTGGAAATATGCTTCCACTTTATAACAGTAACTATCTCAGTGACAGAGAAAGTACCTAAGACAGATGTATGGTATTGCTGATTCCTGAGATATTCTCTGATGTAAAGTACAATGGTACCTCAGTTTATAAATTTAATTAATTTCACAATTCTTGGAAAATGGCCATATCGGGGCCGGGGAGATGGCTCAGTGGAATTAGCGCTTCCCTGGCAAGTGCAAGGGCCTGAGTTCAA